AATACACAAAATTCATATGAGCATGCAAGAATAAGCTGCCAAACTTCTATGCAATCAATCCTATGGTCTATGAACATGCTTAGCACACTTAAACCACTTAGAACATGTCAAAACACATATGTAGCATGCTTCATTACACAATTTAACATATCATACAAGAATTTAGCATAATAAGTCAACATTTACATAACAAGTCAACATAAACACAATTCACCTAACCATTTTATGCATTATTGATCATTTCATCCATAGTAAGGGCCTAACATGTTATGTTCACTTAATGTCACTTATCTAAATGGTCAAAACACTTTTTAATGGCATATATCATCTTTTGGTCACTCAAGACATACATTAACATATTTCATAACATATATTCTAAGACCAACATTCATCATTTCATCATTTATACAATAATCAAAGTTCAACATAGGTTATTAGAGGTCACTTATGCAATAACAAGTAGAAAATGTACAAGTTAACACATATCCTAATTAAGGATCCCATATTGCCTCAAAACAAAATCAAGGTTCAAAATAACTTTACAAATGCCTCCTTGCTTTGATCGCCACCAAGTCCCTTGCCTCACAAGTTTCCAAGTCAACAAGCAATAATTGAAAAATGTTAAACGAGTATGAGCTATAAAGCTCAGTGAATGACTAAACATTCAAGTATGAATCACATGTCAAGGCTAAAGGAAACTATATGCCATGGAACCTCACTTATTTTTACCTCAATGATCATACCATAATGTCATGCTTCAATGCTCATACCATAATGTCATGCTTCAATGCTCATTCAATGCACCATAATCCCACACAAACTACAAAATATAAACATCCGTAATTATAACATATTTATTGCTGTAAATCACATACATTTGTGCACAATTACCTTGCTTGCATTGTCCACACACAACATACATTTTCTTCCATTCAGGACCATTGGCATTCCTCATAATACAACATGAACATTGGATAAATAGACTCCATACAACTCCCTTTTATTTGAAGACGCACTTAGGTCCAAAACCACAATATTTAGAGCTAGGCTCCATATATTCCCAATAATACATAACAAAAATAGTAGAGTACTTTTTCCAATGCATGCCTTTCATATCCAAAGGTCCAATTAAGAACAATTGTCAATTAATCCAAATTCATCCAAGATAGTTAATATTTGATGCACAACGCCAAATACATATATCTTTTGGTATAATTCAAAACCATAACGTTGGTTGTCAAGATCAACCTCAAAGTATATAGCAATATATCCTTTCTCATCTATGGATAGTAGAAAATCTCTACTCATCACAACGCATATACATATTTCCCATATTATTCATATTTGTTTCCAAAAGTTGTTATGCATCAATTAGTAACTAGTATATCCACATATAACACATGTTTCATATCTCAATATCAATCATCATATCATGTTACACACATATACTTACAAAGTTCACATAATCTCATCACATCACAATCCATAATCCACATGTCATTGATTTACACATATCCATAATGATCGCATACCTTGAGTACCCCATAACACACAATCAACGCACTTTAACACACATGCTTACAATATTTATATACTTCCAACAAATCACAGTTCATAATCATCATATCACCATATGCATGTTATAATAATCACTTGCTTCAAATATACCATAACTTCTAATCAACTTATCATAATAAACATGCCTGCATTAATCATGTTATTTCGATGCCTTACAAATCATATCATGATATACATGCTTACTATGATCTCTTACTTTAATTAACACATCATAAATTCATAACATCAATTACCAACAGCAAGTAAATCAATTTAGAACCTTAGATTTAAAATTCACACATACAAAACTTTAATTCAACATTGAACACGTTCATCACAAGTGAATGGACAACCATTCAACTAAACCGCGTTTACCACTCGAAATCAATCCAAACTCACGCTAAAACATCACCAAACATTAGTGCACCAATTTTAATCCATCATAGACCCAAAGAAAACATTATAAACCACAAAAGAATATTATCAAAGTACCCAAAACAGAGCAAAAACTTTGTTACGAAAACAGAGCGAAGAACATCGAAACTACCAAAAATCTTAACGTTTTTGAACTCGAACCCTTCCAAAACCTCAACACAATTTCCTTCAACCTAGAACTGATAAAAAGGAACTTAAACAAATTGTCAACATCAACGAACCATCCAAAATCAGTATCAACAAAGGTGATTCCCAGATTTCCAAAAACATCAAACTAAATTTATTTCCGATTGAAAAAATGATTTAACAAAATAATAACCTTATCATTAACATCTAATTTATCACAATAAACCCCCAAATCATTGAAATAAATTTAGTTCTTTTATTAGATCCAAAAAAAAATTAATAGCTCTAAAATCAACATCTCAATGAAAGCTATCATAAATCATCATAAAAATTATCTTTTTAATCATCGAAACCTAAAAGGACGAAAAAACTAATATGAGCATTAGCATGGTTATGAAATACTTGGTAAAACTAAAGACATGATGTCCACTGTCGAATAACACATGACTTTTTTTTTTTTTTGCAATACAATCTAGACAGGTCGAGTTCATTTCAAGCCTGACAAAGATTGCAAGAATATATCAAGTCAAACAAAAGATGATGAGATTAAAGAATCTTATTAAACTTGGATTCCTGAAAAGCGTAGAGCGTCATAGAATGATACAAGAAGAAAGCGAGCAAACTTTCAGATAGTTTCTATGATAGGGGGCAACAACGATGATTTCGATGGGAATGGACCAAACAAAAAATGAAGGCTAGAAATTAAGACATTTGGGAGTTTTCATATTAGGTTCACATGAGGGCTCATCACCAATGAAGCATGGAGACTTGTCAACTTGCTAGAAGTTATCTAGAGCTTCGAAGACTTAGCTCAAGTGTGCCTTTAAAGTGTTTTTGGTTTTGTTGTAATAAAACTTTTGTCCCATTGAAGGTTATTTATTATCAAACGCACTTTTGGGAGAAACGCCTCACCTTTTGCATCTTGTATGTTAATTTATGAATCACATTAATCATTTTAGATGCATTTATTATGATAATGTTGTGAATAATTCGTGAAAGCTTTTATTTCTGAAAATCACATGGATCTTATAAACGAGATAATATCATACATCAATAAAATATAAAGGCTTCAAGAATATTTGGCAAGAACTCTAGAAAGAATAAGCAATCAATTGAAGAGTTTCCAAGATGAACCGATGGGGAAATCTCTAAGATGAGCATTATGGCTACGCAGATCCAGGGAAAGAATCTGATAAAGGAGGAGAAGGATGTGAGAGTAATTCAGAATCCTATCTTGATAGTTCATGAGGCATTGTTAAATTTTCATGAAATCATTAATGACCAAAACATCCCAGACAAAATTCAAAATCAGACCAAAACATCCCAGCCAAGAGGGCTAAGAATTAGAAGATACAAATTATCCCAACCTTGGGCTCATATTCTGACTTGTTACCCCATCTCTTATGGAATCACCTTCTAACGCCAATCTCGCAAAGGTCTAACAGTTATTTACGACCAGATTAGCAGGATATCAAAAATTCTTGCAGATACAATTCCAGTGATTTCAGTCACACTCTTAATATTTGTGGGATCATAAGGCAAATGGTTCTTGCAGATGGATTACTATGCTTCAAAAATGGAAAACATGTGTTCCCTTAAAGCTCAACATTGGGAAAGAAACCCGAACATGTATAAAAGAAAGAGGACCAGACCTTCTTAAACCAATCCCTTAGTCCTTTACAACACGCTAACCAGGATTTGACACTGAAAAATCAATCCTCAAAGCCTCATTTACCACAAGATGATGTTTTGATAGATTCTCACAAGGACACTGTTAATGACAAGGAAAAGTTGGAATAAAAAAATCCACAGTTCGATCCTATTCCCTAATCATATTGAGGTATATTTTTTATTGCTTAAAGAACGTATGATTATGCTAAAACTTGTCAAATAATCGCCTCCCCTGTATTGAAAATGGTATAATGAAAACTCCCACTACGAGTATCATGTTGGAATTCAATGACACTCCATTTAGAAATGTATAACTTTAAACGTCAATTTTAGAACCTTTTGGATCATGGAGTTATAAAATTTGAGTCCAAGAGTTAGCCCTCCATGATCATGTGTTGAAGATTAATCGCACGGAGGGCCACATATTAAAAAGTATGGAAGAGGCCAAAAAGGGGGAAATAACTCTTTGCCAGCATCCAACACAGACAATGTCTTGTGCAAACACGACCCTTAATTGACAAATGAGGTAAAAATTGAGTGGGGCATCTTGTGATGAGACAAAGAAGAGATCATCACCAACTCGCCATAGAGTTATGCTACCGAAAGAATAATGTCTTGTTTCAATTTGTTTTTTCTTGAAAGTTTTTTATCATTAAATAAATTTCATTTCTTTGACTATGAGCAATGGAGCATTCTTTAAATTCAGTGAATATCAAATATAATGAAATGCACATTTGAGAAATGAGATTATTGCCTTTTGACATATGACGAGATCAAAATCCCTAAAAACTAATATTTATTGAAGCATAATCATGCTTATACCTTTCACCCAAAGAAACGATGGTGATATTTTCCTCATACAATGAAGCCATCAAATGCTTAGGTAAGTATGGAAGCTGACCAGATGCGTATCTTTGATGCATAGCATTTGCAAGACAAATTAGTTTGCTTATCTATTGAGGATGTTTGGTGACGATATACAATTTTCACAAATGGAATGGTTGCTTAGAAATTGAGCTCTGGAGATGAATTTTTTTTACCTTCAATGACACTCAGACTATAACATATTCTTCTTGACGAGGTTAAGAAATCTTGAAATCTAAAGCTCAAGAAAAAATGTGATACTAATGCAAGCTAATTTTAATATTGCTAGGGGCACTCCACTGAAAGTAGTAAGCTGATAATCTTCGGAGGTAATGTCCAAAGCAACTATGGAGGTAAGTCCAAGCTTCATGAAGTGAGTTATGTTCAAGTTGTCAAGTCAAAGATTTTGTGACATTTGAATCATCTAATTAGAGGTATTCCGATAAAGTAATGAGCCATGTCGAGAGATCTAACTTCATGAATATGATTGTATTCAAATCATGACACTAATGACTTTGTGTCTAGATTAATCTCTCAGTAAAATCGAAACAAATATAATAAAATTAAATTTAATGAAGTATAATTTAAAGAATGTGGTAAGACCTAAAGTTTGAATTGAGAATGAGTTTCGATGGAATGTGGACTAAGAGAGTTAAAAAAACATCTGTTATAGTTGACTACACAAAAGAACCCATGAATTCTATTTTTAGATCGATATTTCTGCATTGTCTCTACTTAACGAGTTTATAAAACTTGAAAAAAATTGAAGATTTAGATGAACTGAAAAATAAGTGCTCTCCAAGAAGTATAACAATGAAATTGTACTAGTTGCGCAATTTTCTCCACATCCTATTTGAAGACCACACCAGAATATGGGGACATTTCAAAAATGCTCATGGACGTCTAGATGATGAAAGTCAGAAAAAGATAAGACAAAACCAAGCAAAATCACATTGCCTTCCCAAACCAAACAAAATCTTTTCGAATGTGTTTTTGTTTCACTATTTAGGTTGCTACGGGTAGATTATTAAAGAAATGGCACGCTCATTATAGGGCAGTTACATGCTTAGTTTTCTCCGAGGATGATTCACTCCTCATTTCTGGGTCAGAGGATGGATGTGTTAGAGTTTGGTCGCTTTTCATGTACATATTCCTTGTTCTGATCCGTACTCCTGTTATCAATTATGTTTGCATATCTTATTTGATTATTGTGGCTACTAATTGTGAATAGTTTGTGCTTTTGATGTTTATTGTAAATTAGGATCTTTGATGATATTAGAAAACAGCAGGCGAGTCATCTTTATGAGTATAGTTTTACTGAACATACCCTGCGAGTAACGGATATTGTTATGGGATATGGTGGAGGGAATGCAATTATTGTGTCGGCTTCTGAGGACCGCACGTGTAAGGTTTGTTCTGCTTTTGGTTGAAAACCCAAATGCATGTTTTGCGTTAGCAGAGTGGTTATTAGAGTGTTATTCTGGACTATGCATTAGACTGAAAAGAGGGAAGCAAGTTTTTGCATCACCCTATCTATCTGTTCTATTATACTATTTTTATCAGTAAATTGTTTTTTGGACTGAACCTTGAAACTAAGGAGTGCTCCCTTTATCAAATGATACTTTCTGATAATGAGATTATTGGTCTGAGCTATATGTTAAAGCATTTTCTTAGCTTGAATTGAATATTAATCATGGTTGTAACTCGTAATGTATTTGTGCTGCAATCTTTTGTGCTAGTATATGGCATTAGTTGTATGTTCTACTGGATCCTTTTCAAAGGGTTCCTGATTTAATGTGCATTGCTAATAGGTATGGAGCTTATTCAAGGGAAGATTATTCAGAAATATTGTGTTTCCTTCCATCATTGGTGCAATTGCTATAGACCCTGGTGAACATGTTTTCTATGCTGGCGGCCGAGATGGTAAAATTTATATTGCTACATGACAACTGTCGTTTTGATGTCAAATAAAAATCCTTCTTCTTAATTAATAAATAAAGGAAATACGTAGTATAGAGAAGTAAGGGTCGATTCCACAGGGACTTAGAAAATTATAAATTTCTGTTTGAATGATTTTACCAGGAGATGAGTAGTGAAATGGGTGGTTTGGTAAAAATATATTAAATAGTAAAAAGTGCTTTAAAATAAGAATAAAGAAAAACGTTGAAAATGAATGTGATAAAAACAGCCTCAAGCTTCGTTTTGACTCAATTTTCTTTAGATCATCGAATTAGATTTTCCCTTCGGGATTCACGTCAGTTACTTTGTCTATAAGGGCAATCCCCGTGACTCTATTTTGTATACTGAATACCCAAGACAATCTTTGATTTCGGCTTCGGGAATTGATCTAATCAACATCAATTGTCGTAGATCAATCACCGTTTAAGTTCATGGCGATCGACTCGGATTGTTGCTTCTATAACCGTCAATTCCGATCTCAATTTCCTCTTGGTGAAGCTATCTCGCCAAGTGTGTTCCTAGGAAGTCGAATGTGCTTTCTATAAGCCGAATATTCCTCCCACACGTTAATCACAACAACAATCTAGACCAAAGTCTATCTTTGATTTTGAAAAAAAACTATTTTGATTATGAAAAATAAGCGCAGAGATTGAGAGAGTTATTCCGAAGATATTAAGGGCATGTTTCAATTCTCCCGTTGGAATTGAGTCATCGCTTCAGCTCCCGGCTTATGAAAAATTTAGCCAAGCATAACAAAAGCCATACTTAGCATATTTAAAAAGAAGTTGAAAATAAAAGTAAAAACCTAAAAACTTGAAAAGTAAAATAAAAGAAAAAAACTTTAATAAAACTAGAAAGAAGATGAAAATTGTAATCTGAAATGTGTGTTTAGGCTTATCCAAGAGGGTATTTATAACCTCTCAAAGCCTAAGGATAAACAAAGAAATTAAAATAAAATAATCTTAAAGATAATTATTTTTTTCCTAAATTCAAACTTTAAACAAGTCTCCTAATGCAACTCTGCTCGTCCATCTTACAGAAGGCGCGCTGAGTAGATCTACTAAAAACCGCCGTTGACTAGACCTTCTAGAAACTGTCACGTCAGACCGTGTCGTGCCCATGTCTCCAGCCATGACCAAATAATAAAAAAAATGCAAAATGCACCCTTTTTATCACTAATTCTGGAAAGTAAGGACATGCACGAAAATAAGCATAACACAACCAAGTCAGCAACAATAAATCCATAAGATCGAAGAAATAACGAAATATTAACGATTCTGAACACTTATCACCGCACTTAATGCTGAAAGTTCCCCAAGCAACAATTATGGATTGCACATTATCGGTTTGCTGATTGATCAAAGGTGTTATTTTGTTATGTTCAATCATTTTTGTTGTTTTTGTTTTACTCGTCTTTACAGTATTCTCAATTAATTCTGGAAGGATATTCTATGTTGGTTGCCATCATATCCTTTATACTTTCTTTTAGTCCTTAAAGAGGTGTGGCCTGTGCTCTTAGCTATTGAAACCAACTCATCGTTTGATGGCATAACATCAAGTCCAAAAACTAATCCCTTAGGTTGAAGGTGGATTCTATAGATATACTTAGGATAGTTATGCATCCAAAACAAATGTAATAAAGGAAAAATTATGGTGACTGGTGAATGATAGTTAATATTGCGTGTCCTGTTCTAAAATTTAAAAGGTTTCATGTTACCTCTTATGTCTTACCCTTTTTCTAACAGTTTTACAATCTTATTTTTGGACAGTAAGCCTGTTACTTGCTTGGCATATAGTGCAGAAGGAAATTTGCTACTAACAGGATCAGAGGATGGCATGATTCGAGTTTGGGATGTGAAAACCAAAAACATTGTTCGCATGTTCCGACATTCCAAAGGTACCCTTTAAACAACTAGAAATGTTTACTTTGTTCTACTGATGGCACTGATCAGATTCTGTACTTTTAATTTTTGGGTTCAATTTGGTCCATCTTTTCATCTTGTTTAAAACACGTCTTAAAAATACAGATTATGTTTCTTCACGTCTGCCTCTATTCCAGGCTGCATACATGAATATATATTAGAGGAGAAAAAACTAAGAAATATGAACTGCCTTTTATTTTTTATTTTATTTTTTATTTTGAAAGAGGGTATTTTGTATTAAGAACAATTACAAAGTACACCATCTCAAGGACCTCATTAAAAAATCTCCCTAATCCTAAATGGAGGAAAAAGAGTGTGACTTGAGGTGGTAGGAATCAGTAAACACAAAGTTGTAACATCACACATACCATACTCCAGCCCTACAACACCCCAAAACCATTACAAGAAATTCAACACAAACAAACTATAAAAATACACCGACAGCATGACCAACGTAACGAACCAAAACAACACACGTAATAGCGCCCGCAACCAGAGCTTGATCGAAGACTATCCCTAATCCATGGAGAAACACACTTGCATAAACTGAACCAATGAAGGAGTAAGGACAAGAATATCGATGTTCTGTAGATACATGCAACGTTAAGGAGAATGTCCAGCAAAAACTAACAGAAGAACTATAAGTGGTTTATGTGAATTCAATAACGATAAATGATTGGTAGATTGGTGAATTCATTAACCATAAGTGATTTATGTGAATTCAATAACGATAAATGATTGGTGAATTCATTAACCTTAAATGATTTGTGCAGTGTCAAGATAATTTTATTTGCCTAATAATTATTAATTCATTAACCAAAAATGATTTGTGTAGTGTCAAGATAACTTTATTTGCCTAATAATTATTAATTCAGTGAATATATATTTGACAACTTTAAAAGGTTTGCAGATCTCTGATGAAATTTCAAGGGGGTAGGGCCGCGGGAATCAAAACAGCATTTTGATGGGTCCGGCAATGGTGACATGCAACAGAAGATACCAAAGCGTGCGTTTGATTCACGGAATATAAGATTACCAGTGAGAATGTAAGATTACCAGTGAGAATGTAAGATTACCAGTGGGAATGTAAGATTACCAGTGTGAATGTAAGATTACCAAGGAATAAGATTATCAGTGGGAATGTAAGATTACCAGGAAATAGGATTACTGAGAATGTTATATTTTGTGTTTGGTTGGTTTAGTAAGAATGTAAGATTACCGTGTCGTGTTTGGTTAAAGGAATAAAATATTATTGGAATGTATATTTGACCAAATTGTCCTTATTATATATTTATTTTCTTAACAAGTTGGAAAATATTTATATATTTTCTTTAAAAATTTAAATTCATAAAATTTATATAATTTTTTTTACAAAATTAAAAATATGAAAAGGTTTAATGAAAGGGTAAAATTTTATTTTAACTCCTGAACTTCATATAAAATTTTAGTTATAGACTTTTTTTGTAAATCTAAAATAGTTTAAGGATAAATTTGTAATTTAACATTCGTAGAATTTTTATTATTCAATGACAGAAGAAAAATATTTTTGAAAAAAAAATTAAGGGCATTTTAGTTCAAAACGCCGGTAATCCAACAATACCTAAGGAAAGGGAAGTAATGATATCCCCGGTAATATACCCAAAAAATCTACTATTTTGTAATCTTACATTATCGGGAATGAGATTCCCGACTAACCAAACGGAGGAATGTGGATTCCATTCCCATAGGAATCCCACATTACCCCATCTAAACGCCCCCTAATAGTATTTCGTTGTTTAATACCTTAAAATGAAGAAAAAAAAAAAGAGTCCGTCGCCTACTTCTCAATAATAATCTTTGAGGCTTCCAGACTGTTCCTCGTCACTTGGGTTTTCCTTTTTCTAAAAAAAATGGTATATCTTTATGTACCCAAGAAAATAGTATATAACTTGTTAAAAGAAATATATACATATAAACCATACAAAATCTATCAAATAGAAGCATGCACGATATAAACAATTAAGTCTTTCAAATCCATCAGCGGGTGAGACCCGTAAAAACGACTTTAGTTTTAATTTAGATTAAGTAGTGAAGGAGCAAAGACGACCCTCCCAATTTAGTTTTTTTCATTTATAAATATCAAAATTTAAATTCTAATTCTGCGATGTGTAAACCTTAAGAGAACTAGAACGTATGCGGTTAGAGTTTTAATTTCCTCTGTGTGCTAAGTCACATTATCTATTTACTGTTTCATTTATAAGTTGTATATGATTATCGTTATACTTGCTTTCTCTATTTTAGTTTTACTAACCTCTTCTCCTTGCTTTGTCTATTTTTCTTGCTTTATTTGTGCATAAACATGACGTTAGTTCATGAGTTAATTATTAAAATTAGAGGGCTTTCAATATGACAACGTCACATGAAGGGTAGATCGAATTAATTTCTATCTGCCTGACGTATTGAGACGTTGTGTGTTCTTTGAAAGTTGTTTTAAGATAATTCTTTTGAAATTAACACATGCTTCATACATGACATATCATAGAAGGTATTAATTCCCGAGTTAATAGTCACATTACAAGGCTTTCAATACAACAATGTCACTCGAAGAGGTAGACAGAATTAGAAATGTGCGACAATGGTCCAGAAAGACACTCTAGAAGGCGACTAAGGAAAATACATCAAGTCAAAGTACAATCTGAGATAGATTCACATTGAAGAAATAAAGCTCAATTGATGCAGTAAAATAAGCTTTCTAAAGATTCTACTATGATTCTGATACAACTAGCCAAAAGGAAATAATGGAAAAGAGGATATTTGAAGCCATTAATGTTGAGATTTGAATGATGAAGCAACTCCAACTAGTTGAGAATCGTATCGAAGCTAGTATGAGACAATGAATGATGCTAGTTGCATATAATTATTCAACAAATGTATTTCTTGGGAAAAGAAGATGAAACATTAAAATCATGGATCATGCCAGAGACAAAAGAGGAGTGTCATCTTACCATTTGATCGAAGAATTTAGGAAGTCAAGCTATTTGTAGTTTCAGTCTGCCTCAGTGCATTGAGATATCATGTGTTCTTTGAAAGTTGTTTTATGAAAATTATTTCAAAATCAATACATTTGTTGTATTTGCATCCATATTTATATTCTACATTAACTTATTTACTTTCTTGCTATTTTGTTATATTATACGTATTAACTTGTTTCCCTTTTGTTTTTGTTTTTCTCTTGCATCACGTGAACAAAAGGGGTCGTTTTATGAGCGGTCATCAATTTAGAAGGTTTTCATGATGGACAATGGGTTTCATGATCAAGTATAACATGATACAACTAGGAGTAGGGATAACAATTTCACCCACATCTGACGGGATCTAACCCAATCCGATCTAACTAGGTCTATTTTTTTTAAAAAAAATTGGGTTCGAGTCAGCTTTTTTAAAGGGTGAAGTTAGGTCATGTTCGGGTGAAGGGTGAAAAAACTCTGACCCGAATCAACGTGAGGATAATAATGTAATTTCCTTTAAAATTTTATTATTATTTTAATTAAATCTTTAATTTATACCGGGTCGGGTAGAGGATATATATTTTTCGGGTCGGATCAAGTCGAATGTAGGATATAAATATTTTTGGGTTGTGTTGAGTTCGGGTGTGTTGAACTATGTTTTGATATAACAATTTATGGCAAAAATGTTTTTGGACTTGAATTGAATTTATTCAAAGTTTTCAAAAATAATTCAAAGTCCATTTAACTTGGAATTAAGCACAAAATGTTTTTCTGGACAAGAAGTACCGATACTGTTCTTATAGTATCGATACCTCATGAACAGTATAGATATTGTTCATATGGCACCAATACAAAAGGTAAGGGAAATATCGATACTCACTAGGTAGTATCGATACTACTAGCATTGCTCAAATTCCATAATGCAAAAATGGTACCGATACCCAACGGCTCCAAATCACTCCCAACGGCTAGAAACGACCACAAACTCATTCCAACATATAAATACAAGTTGAGGACACTTGAAGAAGGGTTTGAACACGTATCCAAGCAATCAAACACAATAGAAGAGTTTTTCATTCCTATTTTACTTTCTTTTGTAAATATTTTGTTCTTGTGAGCTTTAATTCTTTGTAAACACCTACCTTAGAGATGTTTTCTTGTTTACATTTCTTTTCCTTTGTGTAAAGAGGATTGGTTCTAGTTTAGCGAAGTGAAAAACTTGGGAGTGTAAAGATTATCTCTTTATCCTTGAAAATGAAAGAACAAATTAGTGAATTTGTTAGAAAATTCTTGGTGAGAAGCTAAGGTAGTAGAGGTAGACTTAATTGTGAAGTCGAACCACTATAAATCGTTGTGTCTATTTCTCTATATTTTATTCTCCTTACTCCCTAAACAAGTTTTTGTCAATTCACCCCCTTGTGCAATTTTCGGTTGATCAAAATGAGCTTCGAAAATCCCAATAATTGGTTTCAGAGCTTGACTCATTAAAAGGTTTAACAATCTGTAAACGATCTTAGAAGAAGCTTTACCAATTCTCAAAGCAACCGACAAGAAGATGGTTTCGACTTCCGACTAATACTACCTTGAAGATTCTCAACTGGTAAACAAGTCAACGTATTTCAATGGAGTAAACTACGCCTATTGGAATAATAGGATGATGCTCTTTATTCATGCAAATGATCTAGGAGCTTGGAATTCAATCATGAATGGTTACTCCACTCCACCTGGTGAGAATGATGCTTGGAGTGATGGAGAGAAGAAGAAGTTCCAACTCAATGGTAAGGCTATGCACACCTCTTTTATGCATTAGGCTCAAATGAATATGGAATAGTCTCCTCTTGCTCTAATACCAAGGAAATATGAGATAAGCTCCAAGTCACTCATGAAGGAACCGATGAAGTGAGGGAAACCAAGATAAGACTTCTCAACCATAGATAAGAGAATTTCATGGTAAAGACATCAAAGATATGAATGATAGATTTTTCGTGATTGTTAACGA